CCATTCCCTTCAAATGCCAAGTGGTGCAAGCATCAATCAATGTTTATATTAAAATAAACATTCTCATTTAATTTGATATCCTGAACAGTTTAATTGAAAGTGCAGTCGAAAATCATTAAACATTGGCACCCGCCTTCTGAATACACTGTAACAATGAAGAGATGAAATGGTTCAAATGTTTACAAACGTTAAATTCGTACATGTTTAGGAGTACTTATTGGTCGTGCGAGGTTACAATCTTTGAACTTATTAGACCAAGTTTTCTTGTGGACCTTCATTCCGCTTTGTTTAGAAGACATATTCCCATCATTCTCAGTTACAGATAACTGTTTGGCAGTATTAAATGGATTACCATATATCAAATCGAAATTACATTACAACCACTGAACATGGTGTAATTATTCTAATATGGATTTATCTAGTAAGAAAAAAACGAATGTATAAATAAATCTCATGAAGTGTAAAGGCATAATCATACTCGATAACTAAGGAGTAATGGCGTGGTATTTTTCATTTATGTTATTACTTATTCTCGGCGAATATTAACATTTTTGCAGAAGATGATATCATACTTATGGTAGAGCCAATTCTTTAAAAGGAAAATTAAAGCACTTTGTTTGAACACTAAAAGCTAAAGATGTTACCGATGGTTTGCCTTTAATAGCATGAAAAGTCATATCGTTAATTATATGAATGTTTAATTTTCGTGAACTTTACAGAAAATGTCAATTGACTTCTGAATTATTAACAAATCTTTGAATCATAGTTGTGCTTTGGATATAGTTGTCTCAATAACAATGTCTGTAAGTTTAAACTTGTTTTTCCTCTGGCGAAATTAAAACGCCGAAGAATCTAAATTAATTGAAAGCCGAAATCTGCTCTCGATGGTGGTTTGCTCCCATGGAACAACATGGTTAAACCACCGGAAATGGAAAATATCACTACAGGAAGCCAAACAAGGCTAGTAACCTTTGTTATTCTACGTCTGTAATGATTACATTTAAATAAAAAAACAAATTACTAACGTTTAATGATTGTGGTCATTTCACAGCAGCAAGTCTCCTTTCTTTCGGTGGATTAACAATGTCATCGAAAAAATAGATCGCCCAGCTCGAAACTACAGGAGAACAGGCCGGACACACATCCGCCCATCCAGTACATATTTCCCACCTCGCCGCGAACGTGTTCCAACAGGTGTAACACGTAGCTGTATACTTGAATTTACAGCTACTCCCTGTCGATTTCTAAACGCCTCTCTCTAACATAATTTAACAGCACTATACGTGCGTCCGCTCCTTTTTCGGACTGTGCTTAAAAGGTTAGCCGCTACACTCCCCGCTCCTGCGTGTCAGGCCGCTCGGGCATTTGGTCACAAGTAGTGTAATTTTTAGTCCTCCGACGGTCCGTCGGAATAGTAATCGGCGGTCACCTCCGGGGAGACACACCAACACCAAGTGCCCGGAGATAGAATCTCAACGAAAATGACATCCCCTCTGCGCATAATTCATCGGAAAGTGGAGCAATTAATATCTCTCCCCTCCCCGCCGCCACCCTCCTCCCAGGAGCAATGAATCCTCACTCCCCCGAGTAAATTGAATTTTATAAAGCGTTCCGCTCAGCGATTTTCGCGCGTTCGCATTCGGGGAGCGTGGTTGGCAAAGGAGAAAAATGTAATTAAGAGCGTTCTGCAAGATAAAACGGTTGCGTTTCCGGCAGTCCTTCGGAATGGCGGAGGAGGGAGAGAGAGAAAGAGAAGGACGAAGGAGGGAAGGGTCGGGGGAGGGAGCCGTATATTAATCACGTGTTGTGCGCGGGCCGGTACGGGTCCTTCCCGCCGAATTCGCGTGCTGTGGAACATATGGGTCGCGCGGCGGAGGCGGCGCGCGGAGGAGCGCGAGGGGGAAGGAGGGGAGGGAGGGGGCGGGGGCGGCGCCGGCAGCTGCAGCGGCGCAGAGGGCCGTGGC